TCCATTCCCCCTTACCTACTTATAAGTTGATTTTTTTCATATATTTTAATTCAATTGTCAAAACACCACCAAAAATTATTCATGACAGCTCTATACAGACAGTCCTCAGGTTACGTTGGACTTGACGTACTTCGTTTTGTGGTTACGTTGCCATCTCCCATTTATTTATTAAAAAAAAAAGTTCCGTCATTTCAACGTATGTACATATGTGCTTTGTTTTTTATTATTTATTTACCACAAGTAAAGGTCAGGAATTGTTATCTTTCTTTTAATTTTTTTTTTTTTTACTGTTTCACTTCATTACTGCTGTGTATGTGCTCCATGTGAGTGACGTAGGTGCTTATGTAGGTGGGTTCCGACTTACGGCGAAAATTGTGTTACGTAGGAATGGATCTCTGACGTAACTCGAGGACCTACTCTATTGTCAATGTTCATTTGCCTTGACCACTTTTCTTTGCTCCTCACTCTTTTTATATCTCAAACATTCTATATAGGATCACTGTTTTTCTGCCTAAAGAATGTTCTTTAGTATTTTCTTTCAGAGCTTTTGTTAGTGATGAACTAACAATTTTTTTATGGAATATTTGTTTATTTTGTCTTTATTTTTGATAAAAAAAAATTTTCACTGTCTATACAATTCTGGGTTGGCAAGTGATTTTTTTTTTTTGGCACACAGAAGATATATATATATATATATCACCGTCGTTCTAGCTTCCTTTGTTTGCTGTCGAAAATCTGCTGTGGGTCTAGCTGTGCTCCTTTGAAGACAATTTTTTCTCTCTTCTTTTTTGGCTGCATTTAAGATTTTTCTCTTTATCTTTAGTTTTCTGCCATTTCACTATGATGTATCTAAGTATGTTTTACTTACCCTGCTTGGAATTTGATGGGTTTCCTGAATCTCCAGATAAGTATTTGAAGCAGTTCTGAAAATATTTGGTTTTTATGTCTTTGAATGATGCCTTTGCCCAGTTGTTTTGTCCTTCCTTCTGGAATTCCTCTTTAACATTATCTTGCATGTCTCTTAACCCTATTTCATATTTTCCATCTTTTGGATTCTGCATTGCATTCAGAAAAATTTATTTTGTTCTTTCACTGATTGTTTCTTCAATTGTATCTGATCTGTTCCCTGAGTTTTTAATTTCGGTTAAAACTTAAACTTGGTAATTTTTAAAATCCAATGATATTTTAATAATTTACCACTCCCTACAGATGTTTCTAACACTAAGCATGGATGTTTTATAGTTTACAAATACTCATTTAATAATCAAAAGTCTAGCCCAGCCAGTGTGGCTCAGTGGTTGAACGTCGGAACCAGGAGGTCCCAAACCCAGACTCAATCCCCAGTGTGGAGCATGCAGAAGGTAGCCAATCAATGATTCTCTCTCATCATTGATGTTTCCATCTGTCTATCCCTCTCCCTTCTCTGAAATCAATAAAAATGTATTTTTTTTAAAAAAATAACAGCTCTTTAAAAAAAATAATCAAAAGTCTACATTGGTCTTTTTATGATTCTCTGTTTTTCCTGTTGGTGTCCTTGTATGCTTGGATATTTTAAATTATATGCTGCTCAATGCCCTTAGAAAATTATTTGTGAAGATGCCCTTTGGCCTAAGATGAAGGTGCCCTTCTTCAAGGAGAATTTGAATGTATATTTGCTTCTTTTAGGCAGGTAGGTACCCTTTGTCTGGTACCACTTTAAACTTCATTCAGAGTATAAGGTTTCTTAGACCACCCACATCTTCTGAATCCATGAGAGTAACTACCTGTATTTTCATGGATTTTGTTTCTTTCCCTTGCTTCTTCTGACCAAGTTAAATCTCTTCAAACTCCCTGGGGGACTTCACCTTTGAGATCCCCTTAATGTGGAAGCTTCCATTAAACCTTTACCTTTAGAGTCCTGGACTTCGGTCTCTGTCCCTTTCACACGGAGAGTCTGTGAAAACCACAGCTCACTTTCTCAGACCCAGTTAGCAAACACTGTCAAGACAAAAGTACTTCAAAGGTGCTGCTTATCTCTGGAGTTTTGCTTTCTCTTAGCTTTTGACCTGATATTTCTTTTCTATTTGATCACTAATTTGAAGCTTTTATGAAACATTTTTTATTTATTTATCATTTTAGATGCTCTTACCCAAAGAGTATTGCCAAATAACCTGCCTTACCATCAGGGACAACGTAGAGTGAACATTCACATAGAGTGAATGTTCTTCAGGCCTTCAGGGTGTTTACTCCTATTGCCAAATAACCTGCCTTACCATCAGGGACAACGTCTGGCCACATAGAGTGAATGTTCTTCAGGCCTTCAGGGAGTTTACTCTCCCATGAAAGTTAACACTGAATCCTCTCCTGTCAGGCAAGGGTCCCTGCTCTGTGTCAGTCAAGTGCTTAATAATCTTTGGAGGACTAAAGATTTCTCACTGTCTCGAAGCAAGTAATTCTAAAGAGACGTGAAGGTGAGCAAAATTCCCATTCTGGGGTCTTTGAAATATTTCTATCCTGCACCCAAAGTGCTCCTTCCATATCTAAACTCCATGTTGGAGAGAGGAAACATCCAATGGTCTATTATAGCTCTTCCTCCCATGGTCTCTGGCTTCTATCATGGTAGCTGTACAGGGTGTTCACCACACTTGATTCCTCAGGGCGGAGTCTGCCTGAAGAGAGATGGGCACTTGCCCTCCCAGAATCAAGTTCTGGGGATCTGGTGTGCTCAGAGGGAGGCTGTACAGGAAAGAGAAGGCAGAGAAGTAAGGTAGCTGACAGGGAAGAACTTCTGGGAGGAAATGGAGAATGTGATTGTTTCTGCTCTTGGTATTCATATGCTCTGCCCTGTTTTTCCATATAATTTTGTATAAATTGAGGATTTCTCATTGTTGTTGAATTGTCTGTTTTGGGAGGGGGGGGTTTACAAAAAAATCAATGTCTATGATGTCAAGATTGGTGTTAAACTAACCATGGAAAACCAACCCTAACTGCTTTACTACTTTGTGCACCTGCTTGGCCCCTGTAGCTATTAGAGGTTGCAGCTCTTGATGAGGATAATGTTAGGTACCCAAGAGAATGAGCCAATGAGGATAATGGTCACTTCCATATAAGTAGCTCAGGGGGATACAGTCTTTAGTCAGGGAGACTTTGAAATCAGGTGTTGCTTAAGCAGAATATCTTAAAGAGATAATAGACATGATCATCATGTGTAGCTGTAGACTTAGGTTCAACTACTATTTATCAAGGGCATATTATGCACTAGGCTGTAGGCTAGGCATTTTAAAAAACATAATCCATTAAATTCAGAACAAAAGAAGCCCCTTCTTTGGTGTTGAATCAGGAGATGTGAAAAAAGAAAGCTATTTTAAGATTAAGGGAGGATGGTTCTCACCAGACATTATTCCATGTAGGGAAAAATATTTCAGGATTATTTTCTGGAGGCTGAAGGGCACATTTTAAAGCTTAAGTCTGAATAATACACCTTTCAGTTAAGCCTTTAGTTTCTCTAAAGAATGTGGTAAGAGTCTTGGACATGAGATTTTCTCCATATTACTTTTCCATATTAGTTCATCTTACAAGTGAACTTCAAGGGATGATTGTGCAATGTGCTGTTTCCGTGAACCCTTTGTCCCTGGGGTAAGGATTTTCAGACACAGTGCAACAAGTGGTGTCCAACCATGCTAAGGAAGGGCACCATGTGTCTATATGGGGAGCTTTTCTTTTTTCTTTTTTTAATATATTTCTTTATTGATTTCAGAGAGGAAGGAGGAGGGAGAGAGAGATAGAAACATCAATGATGAGAGAGAATCATTGATTGGCTGCCTCCTGCATGCTCCCCACTGGGGATCGAGCCCGCAACCCAGGTATGTGCCCTTGGCTGGAATCGAACCTGGGACCCTTCAGTCCGCATGCCAATGCTCTATCCACTGAGCCAAACCGGCTAGGGCTGGGGAGCTTTTCTACAGGGAAAATACCCGACATTTCTTTTTGATGGCATGTTGTATACTACCCTCTACGCTAGCTATCTGTGGATGCCTTCTATCACATATTAAACCTCTGGTTTCTTGGACATTCATGGGATTATTTTACTGCAGCATCCGGCACAGTGAGTTGTCCATTACAGGCAATAAATAGTAAGAGGTAGTATGGAGTGTAGAGATATAAGTACTAGGCCTGGCTCTGCCCCTAAAGACAGGATAAACTCAAGTGTAGCACATGCTTGTTCTTTTTCTCTCTCCTGTTTTTGTTCTTCCTTCCTTTCAATAACAGAATTGCAACTTTCAAATTTTTATCAGTCATCCATTCCTTGCTCATGCAGTCAATGCCCTTTGGGAAAATCTAACCCTACTGTTGGCTCTAGGGTTGTGTTAGTCAGGGTTTTCCAGAGAAACTGAATAGATAGATAGATAGATAGATAGATAGATAGATAGATAGATAATGGGCTCATGTGATTATGGAGGCTGAGAAGCCCCACAATCTGCTCTCCGCAAGCTGGAGAACCAGGAGAGCTGATGGTTTAAATTCCAGTCCATGTACAGGAGGAAACCAATGTTTCAGCTCAAAAGCAGTCAGAGAGAGCAAATTCTTCCTTTATAGCATTTGTCACATGTGCAATTTTATTTTTATATGTGTGGATATTTGATCATTTGTCTCCTCACTAGCCTATTCGCTCTATGAGTCTGGGACTGGGTCCAATTTTGCTCACCATTGCAGTGCTCAGAATGTAGCAAAGTGCCTGGAACAGAGTAGCCACTAGATACACATTTGCAGAGGAAGGCCAGAGAGGACCTCCGGAAGCATGAGTGTAAAGTCAGTACTGATTTTAGGTGCTGGGAACACATGAAGAATATGAACAAGAATCTCCACCTTGCTTGACTGGTGTGAGTGGTTGAGCGTTGACCTATGAACCAGATGGTCACAGTTCCATTCTCAGTCAGGGCACATGATAGGACCACTCAACACCTGTTAAGAAATATGGCAGCGGAAGCATGAGTGTAAAGTCAGTACTGATTTTAGGTGCTGGGAACACATGAAGAATATGAACAAGAATCTCCACCTTGCTTGACTGGTGTGAGTGGTTGAGCGTTAACCTATGAACCAGATGGTCACAGTTCCATTCCCAGTCAGGGCACATGATAGGACCACTCAGCACCTGTTAAGAAATATGGCAATTTTATTTCTTGGAATTCCAAGGGCTGTACAAATATTATATTTTATAACCCTCATCCTATTTTGCTGCCATCCATGCCTTTAGGCCAGAAATGCCACTCTTTTTTGAGAAAATTTATTGAGAAATTAGTTCAAAAGAAAAAACTCCAGATACAAAGATGCTTATAATAGTATTATTAAAAATAACAAAAAATGGAAATAACAGCTTAAATATGGCACATTAATTTAATAGATTATTAAGAAGTTACTGAAAATTATGACAAAATAGGAAATATTTAATATGTGAAGCGGAAAATAAACATCTGTCATTTTTAAAAAATTTTTTTTAACATCCTGCACACTCCCCACCGGAGATGTGCCCACAACCAAGGCACATGCCCCTGACCGGAATTGAACCCAGGGCCCTTCAGTCCGCAGGCTGGCACTCTATCCACTGAGCCAAACCGGTTAGGGCAGTGGTGGGCAAACTGCGGCTCATGAGCCACACGTGGCTCTCTGGACCTTGCTGGTGCTCTATCCACTGAGCCAAACCAGTTAGGGCCGTGGTGGGCAAACTGCAGCTCATGAGCCACACGTGGCTCTCTGGACCCTGGAGTGTGGCTCTTCCTAAGCCTCAGGAGTACCCTAATTAAGTTAATAACAATATACCTACCTATATAGTTTAAGTTTAAAAAATTTGGCTCTCAAAAGAAATTTCAAAATCGTTGTACTGTTGATATTTGGCTCTGTTGACTAATGAGTTTGCCGACCACTGGGTTAGGGCAACATCTGTCATTTTTTTATTTAGAGAACCCTAATTGCCTAATTTCAATTTAGAGAACCCTAATAGCTTTTTCACAAATTATTTTTTACATATTTTTTAACATTAGTTACATATCTAGCTTTCAAAGGACTTGTGAAACCTAGGTATTCAAAATACTTTGGTAATCAGTGACTATTCTGAGCACTGTTAAAATCACATTTTCATAAATGGTAAACTTTGGGGTCCTTGCCATAAATGGAAAGTATACAGATTATTTAACTAGATTATTTGATAATGTATACTATCAACTTTTCTCTAACCCTGTAAGTTATTTAGTATTTCAACAAATAAGTATCGAGTGCTTCTATGTGTGAGGGATTAGGTTACAATAACAAACAAGTAATCAATGCGCCCAGCCAGTGAGGCTCCATGGTTGATTATCAACCTATGAACCAGGAGGTAACGGTTCGATTCCAGGTCAAGGCATATGCCTGGGATGCGGGCTTGATCTCCAGTAGGGAATATGCAGGAGGCAGCCAATCAATGATTCTCTCATCATTTGATGTTTCTATCTCTCTCTCCCTCTCCCTTCCTCTCTGAAATCAATAAAAAAATTTTTTAAAAAAGAATCTCCACCTTTATGGTGCTTCCATTCTAGTGGAGAGAAACAAACACGTAAGTAAATAGTTATGTGCCAATAATAAGTGCTCTGGAGAAAAGAAGGAGTAGAGAGAGTGCAATTTAAAATAATGTGGGTCAAGGAAGGGACTGCTGTAGTAAAATACAGCAAACTAAGTGGCATAAATAACAGAAATGTATTGTCTCACAAAAGTCTGAAATCAGGGTGTTGGCAGGGTTTGTTCCTTCCGAGGAGTGGCTGTGAGGGAGGCTTGGTTCCATGTCTGTCTCCTAGGTGTCTGGTAACCTCAGGCTTTCCTTGCCTGGTAGATGGCTGTCCTCACCCTGTGTCTTCACATCATCTTCCCTTTGCACGTGTCTGTCTCTGTGTCTAAATTTCCCCTTTCTAAAAGAACACCAGTCCTACTGGACTATGGCCCACTGTAATGACTGACTTTAGCTTGATCATTTGCAAGCACCTTATTTCCAAATAAAATCATATTTACAAGTACTGGGGGTTAGGGCTTCAACATCTTTTGTGGGGACACAATTCAACTTCTAACAGGTTTTATTGTGAAGGTGACATTTGAGCAAAAGCCTGAAGGTGAAGGGCAAGGGGGTGAGTCATGTTGAGATCTGGGGAAGAGCAATACAGCAGAAGAAACAGCAAATGCAAATGGCATGCTTGCTCCCCCCAAACAACATTTTGGTGAGTTAATGTAGTGAGCTTGGATGGTCAAGGAGAGAGAATGCGGTGTAATAATTCACTAGGCTCAGACATGACCCATCTGCCTCTCAGTGGGATCCTCCAAAACCTCATGGTTTATCCATTTCAAACATTAGAGACTCTTACATTTCCCAAGAGCACAGTATAAGGTCACTGAACGCAGGAAAGTGTCCCCTACCTCTTTTTACTCTCAGGTGGTCAGTGAATGTTTGTGGATGATGCTGAGGGTGCATTTGCACCACCCTGCTTCATCTCCACCCCAAGAAATGGCTTGTACCCCAAAGCACAGGAAGAGCCCATGGGACAGTAGGAACTTTGGCTGGAGGCAGGTAAGGTGACAGAGACAAGGGAGTCAAGTTAATCACTCAAAGGTACTTACAGAATTTTATGTCATCTGTTGCTACATTCCTGTCAAGATCAGCCCCAGTAAGATGACCATCACTGGCCGTTTTAATTCAGATTTTCTTAGCTTTTAAAATCCTATCCTGCCAATGAAAATGATACAAGTAAAAAAGAATAGGCAAGTTTTCCTACGTTAAAATTTAGAATCAGAAGACCTGCCTCTACTGGAAATCTGACAACTGATCTGTCCCAGCATTAAGACCCATATAGCATTGATAGTTCTCATTTTTATTTCATCTCACATCTTCACAGGAATGAAACAAGCAGTTCGTCAGACTTCCACGGAATCATCTCTGACCTTCTGCCTTTACTTCTCTCCAAGCTGGAATGCTCTCTGGAGCCCTCAGCCATCACACCCACCCTGGCACCTCCCCCATGCCTTCCATCCTGCCCTGGCCTCAGATAACAACAATCCTTTCCAAACTGGCTTTACTCCCGCCATGTTTGAATGCTGCAGAGTAAAACCGAATGTGAATAAGAACCAATGTCCTCTCATTACACTCAGCTCACCTTCCTTTCACATTCCATACATCACTCTTAGCTGGAGGGGACCAGATTGTTTTCTGTTCATGACTCCCTCCATAATGCCTGATTCGGTCCAGGCTTGTTGGGAGACTAAGTTCTTTGTTCTTGTCCTCCTTGTGGCTCTGAGCACCCTTCCCCTGCCCCATGCCTACAACAGTCTCCTCCTTGTCTGTCAAAATCCTCACATAAGACTCTGGCCCTGAAGCTATTATATGGTGACGTGTACCCTTGGCTTCTCCCTCAAGCTGGAACAGAAAACACAGAGCTATGTTTATGGGATGGCAGAGGGAGCAAGAGAACAAAAATCAGCCAGGTCCAGAGCCTTGCGCTTCCTGGGATTTTCAAAGTAGAAATGGTTACTATGACTTCCTTTTTAGGGGTCCCTTCTCTCCTCCAAAATGGAGGGGCTTGCTGGATGTGGGGGTGGGCTGCCCTAGGCCTGGTTGTTCACTTCAGCAGGAATTTTCAGATGAAAAAGAAAAAAGGATGAACAAAAGGCCTTGTGTATGCCGAGCAATATCTCCTAGGGTTCAGAAATTAATCCATGTTGAGTATCCTCTAGGTGCCTTGCTCATTCATATTTCGTATTAAATTTTACCTTCACACACACACACACAAGCACACACCACTGTGGGTGGATTTTATTGTCCTCATTTATTGATGCAGGAACTGAGGTTTGCAGTGCTAAGTACCTTGCTGAGTCATATAGCTCATAAGGAGTGGAGCCGAGACTGAATTCCATGCTCTTTCATTTCCTCTTATTTAAAAATAAATATTGTTGTTTTTCTGATTTTCTCAGTAATATGTATTCTTTATAGAAAATTTAGAAAGACAAAATAAAATCTATAATAATAAAAGCGTAATTTGCTAATTATACTGGACGATTTTCCCAATGAAGCCGGGGCTGCGAGGGAAGACTGGGTCCCAGGTGCCTGCCAGTGGTCGGAGACATTTCCTCTTATTTAAAAATAAATATTGTTGTTTTTCTGATTTTCTCAGTAATATGTATTCTTTATAGAAAATTTAGAAAGACAAAATAAAATCTATAATAATAAAAGCGTAATTTGCTAATTATACTGGACGATTTTCCCAATGAAGCCGGGGCTGCGAGGGAAGACTGGGTCCCAGGTGCCTGCCAGCGGTCGGAAAGAAACCTGGGTCTCGGGTGCCAGAGGGAAGCTGGTGCCAACAGCCAAGGGAAGGAAGGCCTACTCTTAAATGAATTTCGTGCATCGGGCCTCTAGTATAAAATAAAAACAATCAATAATTCCACCATCCAGAGATAATCCCTAATAACATTTTAGTGTCCTTTTCTCCAGTCTATGTTTATGTTTTGCTATACAATTTTATGTCCTGCTCCTTTTAATGTTTTGGGGGGTTTTCTTTTGTTTATTTGTTTTTTTGTTTGTTGTTAAATAGACTTTTACTTTTTAGAGCAGTTTTAGGTTCACAGCAAAATTGATAAGATATAGAGAATTCCCATATCTCCCCTCCCCCTACATAGACACAGCCTCCCCGTCGGCTGACATCCTGCCTCACAGAACCTACAATGAGACATCATTATCACCTGAAGTCCACAGTTCACATTAGGGTTCACTCTTGGTATTGTACATTCTATAGGTTTTGACAAATGTATAATGACATGTATCCACTATTATGTATCATACAGAATAGTTTTACCACTCTCAAAATCCTCTGTGCATCCTAGCCGGTTTGGCTCAGTGGATAGAGCTTCGCCTGTGGACTGAAGGGTCCTGGGTTTGATTCTGGTCAAGGGCACATGCCTGGGTTGTGGGCTTGATCCCCAGTAGGGGGCGTGCAGGAAGCAGCCTATCAATGGTTCTCTTTCATCGTTGATGTTTCTCTCTCTCCCTCTCCCTTTTTCTCTAAAATCAATAAAAATATTTTTTTAAATAAATAAAAATCCTCTGTGCTCCCTCTATTCGTCCCTCCCTCCACAACTCCTGAGCTTCTTACTGTCTCCATAGTTTTGCCTTTTCTAGAATGTTATATAGTTGGAATCATTCAATGTGTAGGCTTTTCAGATTAGTTTCTTTAGTAACATATATTTAAGATTCCTCCACATCTTTTCATGGTTCTGTAGCACATTTCTTGTTAGTGCTGAATAATATTCCATTGTCTGGCTGGATCTGCTTATCCATTCATCTACCAAAGGGCCATCTGGGTTGCTTCTAGTTTTGGCAATGGTGAGTCAAGCTGCTATAAACATCCACGTTCAGGTTTTTGTGTGGACAGAAGTTTTCAACTCATTTGGTTAAATACCAAGGAGACAGTTGCTGAATTATATAGTAAGAGTATATTTAGTTTTGTAAGAAAATGCCCAATTGTCTTCCAGAGTAGCTGTACCATTTTGTATTCTCACCAGCAATGAATGAGAGTTTCTGTTGCTCTACATGCTCACCAGCATTTGGTGCTGTTAGAGCTTTGGATTTTTGCTAGTCTAATAAGTGTGTAGTAACATCTCATTATTTTTTAAGTTTGAAATTCCCTAATGACATATGATGCTTATCATCTTTTCATATGCTCATTTTCCATCTTTATATATACTTTGGTGTGGTGTCTGTTCAGTTATTTTGCCCATATTTTAATTTGTTTGTTTATTTCCTTCCTGTGGAGTTTTAAGAGTTCTTTGTATATTCTGGATAATAATCCTTTTATCATATGTCTTTTGTAACTATTTTATACCATTCTGTGGCTTGTCTTCTCATCCTCTTGATGGAGTCTTTTGCAGAGCAGAAATTTTTAATTTTAATGAAGTCCAGCTTGTAAATTATTTCTTTCATGGATCATGCCTTTGGTGTTATATTTCAAAAGTCATTGCCATAGCCAAGATCATCTAGATTTTCTCCTCTGTCATCTCCTAGGATTTTTATAATTTTACATTTACATTTAGGTTTATATTTCATTTTGAATTAATTTTTGTGTATAAGGTCTGTGTCAAGATTCATTTTTTTTTTCATGTTAATGTCCAGTTGTTGTAGCACCATTTGTTGAAAAGACTATCTTTTCTCTACTGTATTGTATTTGCTCTCTGTCAAAGATTAGTTGGCTATACTTCTGTGGGTTCACTTCTGGGTTCTCTATTCTGTTCTATTAATCTTATTGTCTATCCTTTCATCAATACCACACTGTCTTTTTAAAATATATATATTTTTTTATTGATTTCAGAGAGGAAGGGAGAGGGAAAGAGAGAGGTAGTATCAATGATGAGAGAGAATCATTGATCGGCTGCCTCCTGCATGCCCCACATTGGGGACCGAGCCTGCAACCAGGGCATGTATGAACTGTGACCTCCTGGTTCGTAGGTCGACACTCAACCACTGAGCCATGCTGGCCCAGCTCACTAATACCACATGGTCTTGATTACTGTTGTGAAATCAGGTAATGCCAGTCCTTTGATATTGTTATTCTTCAATATTGTGTTGGCTCTTCTTGATCTTTTGCCTCCCCATATAAACCTTAGAATCAGTTTATATCCACAAAATAACTTGCCAGGATTTTGACTGGGATTGCATTGAATCTATAAATCAAGTTAGAAAGAACTGACATCTTGACAATATTAAGTCTTCCTATCAATAAACATGGAATATTTCTCCATTTATTCAGTTCTTTGTTTTCTTTCACCAACTTTTTGTAGCTTTCCTCAGAGATTTTATTCATATTTTGTTAGATTTATACCTAAGTATTTTATTAATAGGGAGTGCTAAATTAAATAGGTTTTTTTGCTTTTAGATTTGACTTGTTCATTACTAATATGTAGGAAAACAATCGACTTTTGTATATTTAACTTGTAGCCTTCAAATTTGCTATAATCATCTATTATTTCCAGGAGGTTTGGGGTCAATATTTTGGGATTTTTCTACGTAGAAGGTTATGTCATCTGCAAACAGACAATTTTATTTATTTCTCCCCAATCTATACCTTTTATATTCTTTTTTATCTTATTGCATTAGCTATGACTTGCAATATGATGTTGAAAAGGAGTGGTGAGAGCAAATATCCATGCCTTGTTTCTGGTCTTAGTGAGAAAGCATGCAGTTTCTCACCATTAATTAGGCTAACTATAGATTGATATTCTTACCAAGTTGAGAAAATTCTCCCTCTATTCCTAGTTATGAAAATTTTTATCATGAATGGGTGTTGGATTTTGTCAAAAGCTTTTTCTGTATCTATCAATGTGATTTCCCGCCCATCCCCCCCTTTAACCTGTTGATGTGATGGATTACATTAATTGAATGAGTTTTGCATACCTAGGACAAATCCCCCTTGGTTATAGTGTATAATTCTTTTTATACATTGTTGGATTTGATTTGATAATATTTGGTTGAGGTACTTTACATCTATGTTCATAAGAGATATTAGTATGTAGTTTTCTTATATGTCTTTGTCTGGTTTTGGTATTAGGGTAATGCTGAAATCATAGAATGAGTTTAAAAGTATTTCCTTCTATCCTAAGACTCCATTCTCTGTACAGAGGTAGGACCAGGAATCCAAGGTGGAAGGAAGTTTGAATGCTTGTTGTGAGAGGATCCAGGGATATAGGCAAAGGGCAACCCAAGGTTCAGAGTCTATATAAACTGGACACCAGGATCAACCCCACTCACCCAGGTTGGACGTCTAGCAGGTCTGCTAGATAGGGTCTGCAGCCCCTCTTCTGAAACTAAGGCAACTTTCTCATCTGCCACCTTCGAGTTGTGTATAACTTCCTGCTTCCTCTGTAGCTGAACCATAGTTTGAAAGTGAGTCAGGATAAATGTTTGACATGTAAAACCTTTAACTGCCTCTGGGAATTGCTTCAATTATTTCCCCATTCTATTTGCCTGGGTGTGGGCCAGGAATTCCCCTGTCTTCTGGAACCCTGGCCTTGATTGGTCATGTCTATGCTCAAAATAGAAAAAAGGGCTTTAAAGAAAAGATTAGGCAATGTTAAAATAGGAGGTTAGGTGAGGGGTAGAGTTGATGGCAATGCCCTTACTGAATCAGCTGGTTTCAGACTATTCTTCAGTTCCAGGGTCTCCAAGGTTTTCTCAAAGTGCCCTCATGTCCTGGGCTTTAGGACTTGCAGGCTCCTCACATGATAGTACCCATGAGCAAGCTTTTAGTGCCAACCAACTCACTAGCTACTAAGATAAGGATTGGCCTTATCTTGCCCTCTGAGAGGGGTTTTGGCATCTTTTGTGGACTAAAATTTATCCTGAGCTATCTTTTGTTTTCATTGGAACACAGTTGTTGCTTTTCCATAGCAGAAAAATAGAGAATGCTCTATAATTGGCAATAGGATTCTCCAATAAGTATTGCCTTGAAGTAAGGAGACAAAGTGTGGTCGAATCCAGGAGAGGGCTTTTTTAGTACAAACCTCTGAAGCCTCAGACTTTGAATCAGTGTATAACTAAGGCAGTAGAAGAACCAGTAAGAACAGAACAGGAGAAAAAAGGAGTACAGAGACATGGTCAGGATGCAGAGCCAGACACTCCTTGGTTCCTTCTTGCTTTGTTATTGTCCAACTTTGTGCTTATTTATCCTGAGCTTTAATTTCCACAACAAGAATTCCCAGCCTGTCCTCTCAGAGAAAGGTCACTTATTCAGCAACTGTTTATTGAAGATCTACCACGTACAGTGAGCTCCTGTAACCCTGAGCCCTTTTTTCTTCATCCTCCATCCCAGATGCCTAGCACAGTATCTGGCACATTAATGCTATTGAATAAGTAAATAATTGCATGGGTGGGGGAAAAATGAATGAGGACAAAGAAATGAATCAATATAGAAATACTGACCTTTGAGAATCTGCTTGGAAGAGTTGAAGGTCAAGGTAACCCATTAGTTTGGATGTCTCTAGCAGTCACCAACAAATCCATGGAAGTAAATGGAAATCAAAGAGTTGACTTAGAAATACTTAGCACAGAGAGACAAGGTTGCTAGGTAAGCGATGGAAGGCCAGAAGTCAACCAGCTCCATTGTGTAAGGAGCAATGTTGCCTGACAAGACAGTTGTCCAATTTCTTTAATGCCCTTAATGATTAATTTCTTAGTTAATATTTGACATGCCATGGCGAGCCTGAAAACGGAAATGTCAATTGTTTCACTATTTTGGATTTTCCTATGTGTCTGGGCCCTGCTAATAGTCATCATGTGATACATGGAAGTATCAACAAGGGAAGATACATTTTTAACCTTCTGAAGTATTGTATTTAAATAAAGTCAAATAAAATAAATTTAAACAAAATCTCCTGGGTTAGCTGAAAAGGGATGAGAGTAGTCAAGAAGGTATACTGACTGCCCTAAATAGGTCCTCATTTAGGAGTTGAGACTCTCAGAATAGGGTTGCCATAGAACAGTGTCACTCTGCACAAAAGTGGGAGGACTAGATTAACAGGAGGACTCTAAGATTTTTGCCTTGTCATTTTCTATTTAAAAACAACTTAAAAGTCCATTTAGCTGGGATTCTGGAATACTGCCGACTCTTCCTGCCCTATCTGCCTGTAAAATTCAACAAGAGATCATAAGTAATAGACTGCAGTCCAAAATACGTTTGAGGAATCCTGTCAAATAGAATGTCTGATGTCAATGACTTCTGCATGGCCTCTGATATTTAGTCCAAAGAGTGAGAAGTGAGATCACAAATCCCATTGTTGGCTCTGCCCAGTGGAGCTGAGTGGAGGGAATGAGGCAGAACGAGGCTTAGCACAGCCGGGTAGATCTGATGTTCACTTACCTATTGTTGTGCATTAAATGGCTCCAGAACTGAGCAAGTTAAGACAACATTCTATCTCATGACTTTATGGGTCAGGAATTCAGGAGAGTTCAACAGGACAGTTTTTCTGCTCCATGTAGCATCAACTGAGGTTGGTCAGTGGTGGTCAGCTGACAGAGGTCTCCTCTGGAGGTCCAACATGATTCCATTCACATGTGTAGAGCCTTGGAGGGCTTTTCTAGAACTGCTGACCAGAGCATGTTCATGTGGCTTCTATGGCTTGGCAATCTCAGGGTAGTCTATTTCTTACATGGTGGTTCAAAGAAAATGGAAAGTGTACTAAGAGACTCAGGTAGCTGCTGCAAAGCTTCTTATGTCCCCACCTCAGAAGTTCTGGAATGTCACTGGTTGAGCAAGTCCCTAAGGTCAGCAATGGGAGAAATAGCAAGAATTTGTAGCCAGCATTGACCTAGAATATCAGATAATGGAAGAAATTTCTATCCAGTGAAAGTAGGCCACCTATACAAGCATCCTTTCACTTGTCTGACTCCTTTGCCAGTGGCAGGAAGGAGATTGGGAAGATACAAGGCAGGTCTTGAAGACATTCACCCAACCCCTCTCGAAGATTGTGAGGTACCACAAACATCCCTGGAGACCTGGAGCCCCAGGGCCTTCCCTGTGAGTACCTTTCTCTGAAACAAAGAGCTTTCTCCTTAACCTTCCAGCCTAGCCTGTCTTTAAACTCTTACACCTCTGGGGTCTTGAAAAAGTGGAGATGTTCTTCCTACAGCAACAATTAGACTTGGTGAGTAAACCAAAGCATAGGCCTCAAACCTGCCATGTCTCACAAAAAGTCAAGTGAAGGCCTTTGTTCACATGCTAAAGACCAATTCTTTCATAAACTTTTCTATTATATTTCTCCACTTACTAAACACTGTAAAGCAAGATCGTGGGTAAAAACAACCTATGCATTCCACAATAGACATGTATTGCCCTCAACCATGGTTAAACACAGAGCTGGACCCTGGCAGTACAAGGGAGAAGGAAGAAACACATGGTCCCCCTACACTAAGTGGGTCATAGGTAATAGCAGTAGCCTAGCACTTCACAAATATCTTCTCAAAATGCTCTAGTAGGGGCTGTCGTTTTACCTCATGTACCGTTGAGGAAGGAATCAGGCTCAGAGAGGTTAGGTGACTTCTCTAGGGGTACACAGCAAGAGGTAGCAAAACTGAGATTACAACTCAGGTCAAGCTGATAAAAGAGATAAAAATCCTCTCATAGGAAAGAAGCAAGAAGCAGAAAGGTTTACTGAGGGCGCTGGTTCTTCTTAACACCCTTCCCCCAAACTTATATCACTGGAGTGAAGAGTAGAGGACTAGAGGGGAATCTGATGCAACATGCAGGCCCATTCTTTCCAGTTAAGCCACCATTTCTCCAGACTCCATTGTCTTATTTGGCACTTTCAACAAGTATTCATCCCCTCTGGAGATCAGTCTGGCAATATATAAAAAGAGCAAAAAAATCTGTTCATACACTTTGACCTAATCTTCCCACTTTTGGAACAGACCCCAAGGAAATATGCAAAAGAGAAAGAAAAAAAAAGCAAATAGCACAAAGATGTTTATGGTAACATCATTCATAACAGTGGAAAAATGGGACATGACCCAATACCCAAATTTGGAAAAGGTTATGTAAACTGTGGTACATGAAGACAATGGAATGTTATGTTGCTATTAAAAGGAATTAAGTTTACAGATTCTTTTTATACCTCAAAATGCACATGTAAGATAATGTTAAAAGAGAAGAATCCAAAAGAAAATGTACACACTGGGTACAAACTAATCAGTGTGCATGCTCATTGATAAGAATCAGAAGTGAACAGTGCTACAAATAGCTGGTGCTCTATACTTATAGCGTTCCCCCCACCCTAAATTCCACAGTACTTTTGGTATGGGGAAAGAAAGGGAAGAAAGATCCATCAATCC